TGATAAGAAACTTTACTTTGTACAAGAAATATTTCATCCATTAACCAAAATTTGACTTTTACGCTATTTATTAAATTCAGAATTTATTTTTATAAGTTTTTTTGTTGTACTAGGGAAAGTTTATGACATAATAATAATTTGATACATTTTTCAAATGTATGCATGAAAAAAGTCGCATATTAGCATATGTATAACATTTGTTATTTATTTTTAGTGGTTGGAAGGAGACTGGGTGAGAAAAAATATATACGTATATGATGACATTGATAACATCTTTTCATCCTTTTATTACAGATTGCTGGGTCTCATGGTAAAACCTTTTTAAGGCTACTCAAAAATATTTTAAATCCGAGTTTTGATTAGAACAAAGGTTTTTCTCATTAACAATTCGAAATATCGTTTGAAACTATTTTCGGAATGATAGTGAAACCAGAAAAAAAGTGCTGAAGAAATCGTGCTCAAAAATGAAATTAATTTAGTGTAAGAGTTATGAACTATACTGGTTTTGTTTAATTCTAACTTATTTTTTGAAAATAAATTTGTCACATTTTTTTAAGTTATAAATATTTACTCTCAGTATAAAGAAGAAACAAAAAAAAATAAGAGCAGCAATCAGAGTTCAAAAGCGAGATTTACGAAGGACGACACCTAAGAGAAAAAACACGAGGAAAAAGAATAATGACAAGTTTCGAGATCGCGTCCCCTTCTCTATATACATATATTGCGCACGTTTTCCGTCCAGCTTCGATGGTTGCAGCAGCAGCTACCCCACTAGGTCGTACAAAGAAAACGAACGACACGAGGAAGCTCGCCCGGAACGACCGGCAGCGTGTAGACGAAGTAGGTAGGAAGGGGTGGAAAAACGAGAAGCGCACACACACACGTAAGTGCGCGTCCGATGCATCACTGAGGAAACTGGATTTAGTTATCCTTTTTTTTGTTTATATTGTTGAACTTTATCGACTATAGATTCAAAAATTACTAAATAGAGTCGACAATGCAACTATTGCAAGAAAATTTCTAAAATTCAGAACCAAATATTATGTGACGAAATATTGGTTAACTACTAATTTTCAAAGATATTAATGAAAATTTGAACAGACAATTTATTGGCTTATAAAAAAAAAATGTTAGTTTTTTTAAGGAACCAAAAGCTCGTATATTTACAAGATAAATAAAAATAATATATTTTTCGTCACTGGTGCGTATACCTTTCGGATGCGTACTAATAGCGAACGATATTTTAAAATTATTGAGGGTACAATAAACATCCAAATGTTAAAACGCTTGTGGTAGAAAATTCTTTTCTGAGTTCTCCCACCCTTTTTATTTCTCATGATAAGGTTATAACTATTAATGATTACAATTTTTTAGTTTTTTTAAGTTATTCCGCTGAATTGCAAACGCTTGTTTTTTAATGATTTTATCAGGACAATACTCAATTGACAAATCCGTTAGGTAAGAGAGTTTTATCACATTTACAAGCATTGATAGAAAAGTGTTTTTTAGTGGTCAGTGATGTTAAAGTTATAAAAAACAAGCAAGGGGAATAATACGTATATATGCTTATTATTTAATATTAAGTTAATGTTGCACCAGAGCTATTAACTTCTTAAATTCTGTGGTTTTTGAATAATACATTGAATAATTTATGGCAGAAAATGATTATGTCAGCTAAAAAAAAAGAGAAGTCGTCAGGTATTTCTTCCATAGTTACTGAAAATGAAGAACTGTAAATATGCAAAATATATTTTCTAGACTTTTTGATTCTTTTTTTTAAATTAATTTTACTATTACTTTTCTTATAAAAATTAACTTAAATAATTGTATTGGACTTCAATGAGCAAAATTCACAAGAATGATTTATAATGTAAAGTACCTATACCTACTGTGGTGTATGTAAAAAAAAAATTATTTGTGAACATTAGTTAATAAGTAAATATTAATTTTTAACAGATGAATGTTTAGAAAAAGTACATATCGCGAGTCAACTTCGTAGTCTTGTATGCCACACAAAACATAAGCTTATTGTATTGTTGATTCTTTAACCCAACTCTCAGCTGAATTTATAAAAAAACTTGTAAAATAAAAGTGAACGTTAAAAAATTAAAAACGGACATCTACAACAGCTGAAACATGTATCGTTTGTCTTTTTACCATTTATGTTCTCATCTTTGCTCAAACTATTTGGTTATAAAAATTTTTTTTAATGAATAAATAGCAGATCCTTAAAAAGTAACATCAGGGATGAAAGATTAAATGAGTCGTGCAGTAGTTCAAAATTTATGATCCCATTATTGTTCAAACAATTTCTTCAACCAACAATTTTACAACATAAATCTCAAATTCCTTATCATTCCTCTTGAAAACTATAGAAAAAATTTGTTNTGTTAAAAAAAATATTTTTTTAGTTTTCAATAAGAATGATAAGGAATTTGAGATTTATGATGCAAGAACTGTTAGTTAAACAAATTGTTTAAACAACAATAACATTACGGTTTTGCATCAGCATTTTTGACGGTCAGAAAGTTTAACAATGATATCATGAACATCAGCAAGTCCTAAAAAATTTAAAAAGTGCCACAGGTAGCTGATACACTGTTCTCGCTGAAGCTCAATTTAACTACTTGTTAAGATTTCTTTAGTATATTTCATGCATTTTTCATTTGACTATTATAATACGCAATATATAAAATCGGAAAAAATTGTGCATAAATATGCTAGTTACCTATTTGTTGTTTCAAATTTATTGTTTGCATATAACTTTAATCATACAGAAAAACATACAATTTTTATTAAATGTCATACAATCGTACTCAAACAATCCTGCAAATGTCCTGTAGGATCTTTTGGTATAAAAATGACATGTTTAAAATGATCGTAGTCAACTCTGGATTAAAAGCCTTACAACTGGACGCTTTAATTGGGTAAAGTTAAAATTATGTCATAACAAATTTTTGTTTTTGAAATTTATACTGCAACTTCGTTTAAGTATTAAAATTTTTTTATTATTTGATGGCACTACTTCTTAGTTAGATATTAGTTTTACGACTAGCCCAGCAAGTGTTTTGATGTATCACAGATATTACAAAAGAATTGTTCGTTCTATTAATTTAACTTTTTTGTTTTTCCAGCTTAATAGCGTGGATGTTGCCTTCTTCTTGTGTGTATAGTATCTGATAGAGTAATCGGTAGTATTCAAACAGTCACTCGAATGATATAAAACTGGTTTGAATGAAAAGTTCATGAAAAATAATAAAAAGAGGAAGAAAGTAAATTTAAAGGAAAATGAGTATTAATAGGTGAAAGACAACTTTTATGCTAAAGATGCTGAATGAACTCTATCTGCTGCATTATTGCAATAAAAATTAATACACTCAAACTCATCAGCTTTAAAAGTCGTAAATCATCTCATATTTCAACCGTTTTTAAATGACAGTTAACACAAGATACGCATGTTTGTGATAGCACTACATAGGCCTAATAACACTGTAGGGTCGTCGGTACAGTTGCTGTACTTACGTCAAGACAAAAACAAACATATTTTACAAAAAGTCAACATATTTTACGCAAGACTTACAACAACTAAAAGCAACTTAATTAAATGGGAATTTCTGAATATGTATTATATTTTGTCAAAAGTTTTCTTGATCTCATTACTGAAATTTTTTTAAGCTGAAAAGAAAAATAGTCTAAAAGTTGATTTATGCAAAAGTAACAGCTCCTTCTAATGGCGTTAGTTTAATATCTATCAGAATAATACAGTAAAACATTCTAATGCCCTGCATATGTTAGCATTCCATGGTCTAGAAAACTTTTTTTATCATACTCCCGCCATAAGCTGACTTTTCTTACCTTCAGATCGGGAGGCAATTATACACGGAAGGGAATACTGATCTTTCGTCCCTTGTGGCATAATATATTTTTGCATCTTCATCCAAAAATATTACTATTTCATTTAAAAATATACAAATTATTCAGATAGCACATACTTTCTATGCATACATATACCAATATATTACTGACTGATAGCTTATTTTTAACAAAGTTAAATTTACCGGAATTGCTATAATTTTTAGCTCTCTCAAAACTGAAGAAAATCTTTTTGTTGTGACGACAATACCATCGGATAGACTTCTTATAGAAACAGACTGTCCATGGTGCGAAGTGCGACCAACACATGCCTCAGCCAAAGATATAGTAACACGATTTTCATCAGTGAAAAAAGAAAAATGGCAGTCTGATAAAATGGTCAAAGGAAGAAATGAACCTTGTAACATTGTGTGAGTTAAAGTTTATAATAATTACTGAATTTTATTCTAAATATTCAAAATAACGCTTAAAAATAACTTTTCTTTTAGTCAAATATTGGAGATTCTTGCAAGTGTGCGGGACGAAGAAGAGGAGTACCTGTGTAACCAAATTTATAAAAACACGATGAAACTTTTTTTTCCTTACGAATTATAACTTGAATTTATGGGCATGAATCGTTTAATAAAATTTAGATGTCTTAGAGCATAAGTGAAAATTTTTTTCCAACTCTTAGTTAAAAAAACATACATAATTCAAGACTTGACTTTAGTCCAGGTGGAGCTACTCTAGTGGCCTCCTTAGCTATAAGTAGGGTCGAATTAGCTGAAATGTCAGTAATTTTTTGTGAAATTCAGACTAACTTGAAAAAATTATATTATACAGAATCAAATAATGCCAATCAGTTGTGATAAAATCAAACAAAACAATTTTTCAAACATGGCAAAACACGGTTTTTAGCGTCGAAACGGACAAAAAGCCTTAAAAATCGTTTAAAAAAAACAACATATATAACAGTGTGTAGCAAAAAAATAAAGAAAGGAAGCTGCAGTTAGTTTTAATTGGTCCATTGGTTTCCCTGCAAAATGCAAAAAACCTCGTGTTTTGAGCCAATTTAAAAAAAAAAATTGACTCTCGTTTGCATAAGCATTAGGAGCTGAAGTTTGTGCAGAGTTGTAGTTTTAATGATCTTGAACAGCCACACCAAATTTCAGCATAATCGGATGAATAGTTTTTGTAAACCGCCGATAAATGCAAAAAAAGGTACTACGGTAAAATAGCATAAAAAAAATTTTTTTACGGCTCGATGCCCCTGATGCTTCGTAATGCCGTACGCAACAAATACCCATGTGATTCATAATTTGTTTAGCAATTTTCACGATGCAAAAAAAAAATCCAATATTTTAGTACGTTGTAACGTGGGATTCCGATGGCTCGGGGTCCTTCATAATAAAACGGCAGTTAAATTCAGTCAATCACTTTATTACTATCCCTTGAGGGAAGGCACTTGGCGGTCCCGAGTTACTTATTGCGACTACTTTCTTTCTAGTCTCGCTGTTCTAGAGCCCTATGGCCATTGCTGTGGATCTTTTTATGCTTTCTCTTCCCTTACTCATCCTCCTTCCTTCTACTAATAGCTGAGGCCCATCTCACGCAGTATGTTCCATACTGTACGTGACACGTCTGAGGCCGCTACGTCATGGTCCTTGACAGTGTTCTTTTCTTTTCCAGCTCGGAAATGATTGTTTAATTGGTGTATGTATCATTTTGTTCATGTTGTAATGTATACTGATCACTTAAAATCAAAGAGGTGTTTTTATGTACATCCTCGTTTTTTTACAGGTTTTGAATAATTTCTCGTATGTTCATGATGGGTTATTACATACATTGTTCGTGTTCACGCTCTTCCCTCTTACATAATGACTTCATAAATAAGCTCTTGTTGTCTCAACTTTTATTTATAATTATCTGTTTACCATTTATTGCTTTTATTCTAACTTAATGTTTACTTACATGTTGTTTTTTGAATTGTTTCATACATACTCATTCTTACTGTGTTGCTCATTATTATTTTTCTTTAGGTCTTATTCTACTTTCAATAATTGTTTTAAACATTTATATTTTTCTTTTCTTTTTTTGTTTTATACTACTATGTTTATTACATTCAACACTACATCTTTTACACAGCATGATAAAAATCTTTTTGTTTTATTCTTCTTCTTACATACGTATTCTCATCCAAGTGTTTCACTATTTAACGTATCATCTAACAAACAAAAAGTATATCCACCGTTTTTATGAACTTATCTACGTACTAGTTTTTCCGCCTATTTATTTATTGTTTTTTTTTGCACATAAATGTATATTTTTGTCGAAAAAGGCGTTTTTTTTAAAGATTATTTATGCTTAGGTATTAAGGTCCAAGCTAGTGTATGTATATTTCTTATAATGATTGTTTGTTGCTGTTGGTCGGTTGATCTCCTAGTTGCCGATCACCTCGCACTTGCATAAGTATTGGTTACAGTGCCATAGGATTCTTAGTATTTTCGTTTCTTGTGGCGTTGTTCCTCCTTCTTCTTTCTGTAACATTCTAGACAGATTAAGTATTAACCTTGGCCCCCCATTTTAAAAGTACACCTTGATACGAAACGTAGTAATAAAGAAAGATAAGGTGTGTAGAGTAAATGTACTGAATCTTTACATCCAGCATACCAGGGTAAACATGATCTTTTAATTACTTATTACGTTCATAAATATCACTTATTAAATAATTATATTTTGCACCCCTTGTACGCATATTTCCGCTTTGCATGTATTAAATTCTTATATTTCTATCACCAACTTCTCAATGCTTCTACTAGCTTTTTCATTACACATTATTGGAACGTTATTATTTACGTTACTTACTTTAGTGGACCATAAAGGATGTCGTAGTTGCGTGAGTGGTGAAATAACATTCGGTCCTTTTTTTCTAGATTTAAATTGACGATACCCTCGCAGCTATTTTTAAAAATTCTTTTTTTTTTAAGGGGGAACTGTGTATATTTTTGGATAGGAAAGTCATGGGCAGGTTGTTAGAATTTTTAGTTCAAATTTTTTTTCTTTTTTTCTTTTTTTTTTTTTTGAAAGGGATATGTTTGGCATCTCCTTTTTTTTAACAGTAACCCAATACTTGCATTCCTGATCTCCTCTTACGTCATCTTTTAAACAGCTGTTCTTTTTTTTTTTTTTTTTTCTTTTTTAACTGGTGTGTACATTCTTTTTTCTGCCATAGTAGCGCTGAAAATCATCGATGATTGAGTTTACTGTTTTAGTTTCAGGTTGCTGAATTATTCCGACAACTTATGTCTTATGACTGTTGTGAATTTTTAGACATAATACCATAGGTATATCTGCTAAGGTTGTTCTGATTTTGTTTACGAGATAGATGTACTGTTTTCTTGAATGCAGTTTTTTTCTATACAGATACGTATGTATGTGTACAAAAAAATTTTTTGTTTGGATGGACTCCAGTTCCATGGTATAAAATGAATTTTGGTTCCAGAAATCTTAAAAGATGTTATTCGTTTATCACTCTTCAGTTTGATATTATAATCAATGGCGCAATTATAACTCCTACTCTGTGTTTGCAAGTCAGACGATTGTTCAAGTTAAACAATAATCCATTAATTTTTTTTGCTAATTTTATTAGTAGGTAAAGGGTATAGCAATCTTTATGACGTTATTAGAGGATTAAAGCTGAGTGACCAGTCATTAAAAATTTTAAATTGTAACTGTATTTCTTCATCATTTGAACTATAATAAAAATATTTTTTGTCTTTAAATTCGCATAGTTCACATTCTTTTAAATCTACTAATTACAAAACTAATAACTAATAATAATAAACAATATTCCTTATTGTTTATAACAAATTATTCTTGAAGCTTGCAAAAAATGATAGACTTATTATCTGTACAATGACTTGTTTTCCCGAATGTTTGGTGTATGGCCATTCACCGTGTACAAATTTTGACTTAAATACTTTTCTCTTTCTTCTCTTCTGATATACAAAGATATTTTATTTTATTTTCTCGTATTGCAATTATCAATTATTATTGACGCGTTTCCTGTGTGTGATATAAGCATTCTTTCATTTTAATGTACTCTTTTTGTATTTTACGCAGCGCGTCTGGGGGCCACGAAAGACAAAGAGTTTCTAAGAGAAGAATTGTTTATTTTCACGTCTGTTTCTACCCCCTATTCGTCTATAGTTCTATTATCCGTAAGTCTTCGCTCTCATTGTTTGGTAAGTCTGAGCAACTTGAAGTATCGGGGGGTGGTAATGGATCGAATGGGGGTGTGTCTCTATCCTCATCAATACCCTCATTCATATAGTCATTTTCATGATGCTCCATTCCTATATCTCCTTTCTGCCCCCCCCCCGCACAGTGTGACGAAACGCAAAAAAATGTGTAAAAATTCCCGCTTCAACTGAATTTTGCTCAAAAAAATTATTTTTTAGTATCGTTTTACTCGTCTTGGACTCTAGTTTTAGAATTCGTTCCCCTCGCATCTCTACGTTGTATTACGTATTGTGTAGGTGGCGTTAAAGTCGTCACAGTGGACATACCTAATTTCTTATATTTGACTTCGGTCCAAGATTCGACCATAAAAAATAAGTTAGTAGTGTTTTTTATGGTTTTTTGAGGCACTGAACACAAAAATAATGTCCATTTTGCAAAAAAAAATTGCTTAAACAATTTTTTTAAACAAACATAGCTTTGAAAATTTTTAAAATACAAGCAGCACATATTTTCTATGGGTTTTAAGGTTTGTGGTTACTTATGCAATATTTATTTTGCAGAAAAAAATTGTTTAAACATTTTTTTTAAATAAACAAGTACTTTAAATTTTTTCAAACACAAGCTGCACCTATTTTCTATGGTTTTCAATGTTTGTTAGTACGAATATAATAT